AGGCTGATGAAGTCTCTGGTTTATGTGGCCCTTTCTGTCTCTTGGGCTAATATTTTCCTTGTGTCTTTGGTGTTCTTCATTCTCCTTTGCTCCAGGTGGGTTGGGACCAACTGATGCATCTTAGATGGCCATTTGCTAGCTTGTAAGATCCCAGACGCCACACACCAAAGTGGGATGCAGAACATTTTCTTAATAAACTGTTATGCCAGTTGACCTAGATGTCCCCTGAAACCATGGTCCCCAGACACCTACTCCTGCTACTCTGTCCCTCAAAGTGTTTGGTTGTATTCAGGAAAATTCTTAGCTTTGGTTTAGTCCAGTTGTGCTCACTTCCCCTGTAGTGTTTTCCTTCCCTTTATCTAATTCTTGTCTACTATCTAGTGAATGCCCTTCTCCCTCCCTCCCCACCCTCATAACCACCAAAGAATGTTTTCTTCTGTGTTTAAACCTTTTCTTGAATTCTTGTAATAGTGGTCTTACACAATATTTGTCCTTCTGCGACTGACTAAATTTACTCAGCATAATGCCTTCCGGATTTCTCCATGTTACGTTTCACGGATTCATCGTTGTTCTTTATTGTTGCATAGTATTCCATTGTGTGGCTATCCCGTAATTTATCCATTCGTCCGTTGATGGGCATCTAGGTAGTTTCCATCTTTTTGCTATTGTGAACAGTACTGCAATGAACATGGGTGTGCATATATCTACTAGTGTGATGGCTCTTATTTCTCTAGGATATATTCCAAGGAGCAGGATTCCTGGATGGTATGGTACTTCTATTTCTAGCTTTTTAAGAAAGCGCCAAATCGATTTCCAAAGTGGTTGTACCATTCTACATTCCCACCAACAGTGTATAAGTGTTCCAGTGTCTCCACAACCTCTCCAACATTATTATTTTGTGTTTTTGGATTAATGCTAGCCTTGTTGGGGTGAGATGGTATCTCATTGTAGTTTTGATTTTCATTTCTTTAATGGCTAATAATCATGGGTACTTCTTCACGTGTCTGTTCGCTGCCTCAATGTCTTCTTTGGTCAAGGGCGGCAGTGAATTTATGTTAATGGGGGAGGAACAACTCAGAAAAGGAGGGTGAAAATGGATGTCTAACTCTAAGAATGTAATCAGTGTCACTAAGTGGTATATGAAGAAACTGCTGAATTGGTGTATGTTCTGCTGTGTATATTAACAACAACAAAATAAACAAAATCATACTAAAAAAATCTCGAAAGCCATGTAAAACCCGAAGGCATTAAAATTTATTAAATGATGCAATAACAACGGAATTCTTTATGTACAACAGCATTATTTAACATCAAATAAGCAAATAGCATCAGCAAAGCAATATTAACTTGCATAAATGTATTTAAAATTTCTCTGAATATATCTACCTTTGCATAAACTGCTCACACTAGAAATACAAACATCAATGCAGGTGAACAAAGTGATGTTCAGAGTCAAGTCCATTTTGAAAATAAATCACAACCTGAAACACTGTAAGCTTTCTCCTGAAGAACCACAGTTAATATATTGCTTAATTTTACCCTTGTATAATCTTTTCATATACACACATCTCAGATGGAACTTCATGAGGAACTGTACAAATAAAACCCACAAATGACAAAGGGAAAAAAAAAAGACAGTTAAATGTTTGAAGAAATGTATCATCATCACTATTCAACAACATAAATGTTAAGTGATGATGCACTTATTCAAAAATTGTACACAATTCACTATACAAATATAATACATCGGACAGCTATGTAGGAATATACAAGACTTAAAAACAGATCTAAGGCATTATGCTAGATTTTAGCATTTTGAGGTTCTTGCACATAGCTTTTACCTGTAGTAAGAAACTTAAAAGATTTTGTTTTAGTCTATAAAGAAACACCAGGGAGAAAATTCTAATTAAAATCGAAGCCACTACAGTAATTTTCTTTTGTGCAGAGAATGCTTTGCTCTCAGGCAGCATACTACCATACAAATACTAGAAAATTTTAAATTCACACCAACAATTAATGGCTTAAGTTGCATTTCAAAATTGATTGTGTATCTTTGGGTTCTGCAAGTGGACCTGTGCCACCCATTCATGTGTTAAGCCCATATGAACTCCATTTTTAAACACAGATTAAAAATTGCATTATATAAACTGCAAAAACATTGCTTTCAATGATTACAGGCCATAAGAGATACACACAGGGGAGGGGAGGCATCTTCATCTTTGAGTCAAACGAATTCATTGTAGTAAAACAGCTCACTTCACTTTTTACTTACCACATTACATGAACACTTAAATGAGTTTTACAACCAAGTTAATGTATGTATACTTTCACATTATGTGTTCTTCACATTTAGTAATATAAGTAAAACACTGATTATTTGTTCTATTAAACAAAAACCCAGTACTCAGTCTAACAAATTTATTGTGTACAGCATGAGAAATACTGATAATGAAGGGAATTGATGTGGCTTTTGCTTCTACAGTGATCAATATGATCAGAGGATTCCTTCACTTACTCTTCTTCTCCTAATTAGATGTAAAGCAAAATCCATTACCTGATCTGAGCCATAAGATTAGAACTTATAATCTCTATTCCTTCAAAACAGTAATGATCATGACATAGTCTATGTTACCATGATGGCAGGTTTGTAGATTTGTCTGAATTGGGACTGATGGTAAAACACAGCGGGCAGATGGATAAACAATAAACAATATCAATATTTTTGGACAGTATTATAGTGAAAAGGGACTGAAAACTCAAAACAAAGCAAATCCAGCTTCAACTCCATTTGTCTGTTGTGCTGTGTAAAGTCATTCTAATTCACATATTTCTAAAAATCAATTGAAAACTGGTCAGGTTAAATCGTGCATAAAGCAAGTCTCATTATACCAGTGAGGTCACAGAGTCCTGGGCCAACATCTGCTCGTTCTTCCCTCACAGTTGGGGAACCCAATGGTTTGGCTGAGAAGGTAGCGCCTTTTGAGTGGGACGTGTGAACTGGTGGCCACTGACAACTGCTGTTCCTTGGCCACCTCCCTGTATTGAGATCCCTCTCAAGTGGAAAAAATATCGAAATGCAGATTTCCAGAAAATTTCTTTAGTATGGAGCAACACTTTCAGACTGTCTATTCATCATTTATCTTTGGGTTATATCTCTGTCTATACTTCCAAAATCTGTACATATAGAGAGAGATATAAATATAAATAGGGATAGTTTGTGTATTTTTCACCCTGCCACAAAATAAACAATCAGATTTCAAGGAAAAACCTCTCTGTTCCTAAAAAGCCTGGCTAATGAGATATTACAAAATGCTTTGCTTAGTAGACATCAAAAAGACATCATGTGGAAATTTAGGTAAGAAAGTCTGTGTATTAGGTGTCGGGGAGAAATAGCTCAAAAAAGGCCGTCAGTTTCTCAGTATTGCAGTTGTCGGAAACTGATGCCAATTAATAAAAGATTATTCCCCTACCAGAGCGGGCAAGAAAAACAACCATAAACGTGGCCGGCTTGGTAACACGGAGTCTTTCTAAGGTTCATTAAAAAAGAATATAAACATATAAAAATCAAGAATTGGTTCCTACAGCGGCTGCATATTATATAGATTAATGATTTATGAGCAGAATCACAAGGTTTAGAAAATAAAAAGTCTTAAGTCTACAAATTAGGTCTAATCAAGGCATTGATATCCTTTACAAAACACCTTTAGGAGACACTGCTATGAAGATAATCTAATTTAATACTGAAGTACCTCATTTTTGAGTCAATTCCACAATATGTATACCTCACAAAAATTATACAATTAAAACACTTAAGTTCTCAACTTAAATTATTGCTTGTTTACATAGAAATTGGATTTTATGTACCTTACAAAACTTCAGCTTCGTCAGCACTGCCAAAAAAACAAAATGAAAAACACACGGCGGTGGTTACATCTGTAGTGATATCTGCTGTAAATTTTAAATACACTATCGTTTTCTCCCGTTTTGTAGGCCCGAGGTGCTGGGGGACAGAACGAACATGCTTCCAAAGCAGGTATCCTTAGCTTGACTGTCATTAAGTAGTAACTTTGTTTCCCTCCTTGCCAGTAAATGCATTTTTCTGAAATTCAATATTTAGCAACTGATAAGTGGCTGGCAAAACACGTAAGGAAAAAAGGGCTTACCTGGTTTCTGCTGTGTACACTGCTGTAAAACAATGAACGAAAGTTGGGAGAACTGGGGAAGCCGGAGGGCCAGATGGGGAAGAGGAGATGCCAATTCAAGCTGTCTGAAGCAATCTAATGGGAACTTAATTTGGATGAAAAGTATTTCTTCCTGAAGCCTGATTTCAATGAACTAGTTTGGTTTTCTTTAATGAAGAACAAAGGAAACAATACTTGTTAATATTAACAGCCCCCACAGGCTCCTTTTCCTCTGTTCAATAACTGGAAACTCTTTCCAACCTGGTCCTTGGAGTCTTCTACAAACACACAGCTAGGACTGTTATTGTTCTTCACTTACGGGGTATTTCTGTATCTACAACGCTGTCCATGGTGCCTGGCCTGCTTCTATCCCAAATGCAGGCTTTTGCTTAAAACACCTTAGGTTTTTACTTTTGTTAACTCTTTTCTTTCTCCCAGATGAAATTTTACTCCTTTGCACTAGACTGATTAGCCAGGGAAAACAAAGCAAGAAACCAGTGTCTGGAACCGAACAGGAACAGAACAAGAGCATGGTTGTTTTCCTTAAATACGTACATTTAAATACATTCAATCTGACATGGGTATGCAATTTGCCTGTCAACATTTACTTGCAGGAGAGATCTAAGTTGCACTAAGGTGAATGCAGTGAACAGACTGAGCAACTGTCTGGATGTGAGCTTCAGACTGTCAAGAGAAGAGGCAGCTTCTCCTGCAGCAGCGGCGTGGACTCCACGCCGGCGCAGAGCTGAGGCCTGCCTGCGGATCTCGCTCTGGCAGAACTGGCCGGCAGGTCGGTGGGTCAGAACAAGTGGATGCAGCTCTCCAGACTGGTAAGGGGTTTGAGCAAGTGAGCCCGGTCAGCTGAAGCTACCTTCAGTGTCAGCAGTATTTCTGCAGGAAAACAGACAGAAAGTTGTCAGAAACCTCTGGCTTTTTGGTAAATCCATTATAAAGCCTATCACAAAAACATCAAAATACTTGGCTGCTTTAATCAATGCAAACCACAAGGTTGTATCTGGATGAGTTACACTTGATTTTAAGCAGATGGTGATATTCTTAAACACAAACAATGTTTCCAAAGGGCCAGGAGGAGGCAAACAGATCCTTTATGACGGTTCTCCCAGGACGTAGACAAGCCACGCCTCAGCCACAAACGATGGTCAATCCTTCCTTCGGGATGGCTGCTGCTTTCCTGCCAGTGGCATCCTAGCCCCGTCCCGTCCCTCCATCTTCCCAACGAGGATTACTGAGATACCCCCTGCTGAGCTGCCCTTGCACCTTGACAGCATCCAACCCGGAAATGGCCTTCACGTTCCCCGTCCCTCCTTAAATCACCCAGGACAAGCCCATACACTGTAAATTTCTCTACTGAGATACTCCCAAGGTTCTATGGGGTGTGTGCTCCATGGCTTCAGCAAGTGAAATAAACCTGGGTCTTGACTCTAGGAGAGTTCCTGCTAGTCTCTGGCTGCTATGTGCTGACAGTCTGAATCACCAAACACCAAGGCTCACAGCGGCAAGAATTACGTGGAGGTGCTTCCTCGGTTAGTGCAAGTATATGTCATTGGTTTTCTTTGGTTATCGACTGTCTGTGCCCCTAAAAAGCGTTCATTCATTTAGAAAATATTAACTGAGCATCTACTATCTGCCAGGTGCTGGGGATTACAAGACATTCCTGGTCACTGCTATTACAAAATTGCTGAACAGGCAAAGACGACAAATAACAAGTCACAATAAAATGTGATCAGTTACACGAGGGGAAGCAGCAGGTACTGCGGGAACACAGAACAGTGGTGTACAGAATTTGGCATTTAGACACAGAATTGGAGCACATCAGGGCCGTCAGAGAGACCTAGTGTTAGTAACATTAGACAGGAAGCCAGTCCCCAAATAATCTATTGCACTCTGAACAGAGACTTCTGGGGAAACAACTGCCAAATCGTGAATTCTAGTGGTCAAAGGCAGAATTAAGAATGACATCAGTACCTGCTCAGAGGCACAATTCTTCTAAGCTTAAAAAATCAGCTTAGGAGAATACCTGTGATTGTATTTCTTCTTAGAGAAGAACAGCTAATGCACTTTTCTCTGTATTAAACAGCTGAATAACACGTATTTCTTATTTGTGTTACTGAAAAGATTTCACATGAAAATACTCCATGGTTCTGATTGAAATGTGGAAAAACCCCTCAATTCTCCAGTTATTCTGGAAAAAAAAACTCTACTGAGAAGTATTTATTTCCTGTAAGACTTATGAGGCTTAGAAACTTTGTGGCAGTGTCTTTACCACAGACTAACATCAAGAAACAGGATTACACTCCCGAGGTTCACCCTTCAGCCAGAGCTTAGACGGGCCCATAAAACGGAATGAGACTGAAGGGGCACGACAGCCCAGGGGCAAGGACTACAGGGCAGGAGGGGACAGGAAAGCTGGTAATGGGGAACCCAAGGTCAAGAAGGGAAAAGTGTTGACATGTCATGGGGTTGACAACCAATGTCACAAAACTATATGTGTACTAACTGTTTAATGAGAAACAATTTGTTCTGTAAACCTTCATCTAAAGTACAACAAAAAAAGAAAAAGGAGGAAAAAAAAAAAAAGCAGAGGGTTAGCCAGAGTTCATCTGGTAAGAGAGAACATTGAGCTGGAGCCTATTTCAGGGATGATGCTGGCACCCCAACAGTGCCACTTGGGGGTCACAGGACCTTTCTGTACCTAATACTCCTTCGGGTTGTCATGAGGATTAAAGGAAATGATGTCCATGAAGTGTTTAAACAGCTCCTGAGTCATAATAAATGCTCAATAAATGTCATCATCACTATTATCAGCATTTTCATCATCAACTAAAAGCTGATCCTAGTTAGTGACCAGTTCCCGTAACACCAGTAAATGAAATGAACTGCAACTATACTCTTTTTATGCCCGAGCCATGCGGCTGAGCAATAAACTAAACTTTAATATATTTAAATGTATGCCAAATATAAAAGAATACTGTGATAAGTCCTTGTAAAATGAATCTTGGTTGAGTGAAATAATTGGCCTTCTCTAGTGTTCTGGTAAATCTATAGTTACGTATACTAGCTCTGCTTAAAGCAAGGTACAATTATAATCTAGAGAGAAACAGAACACAGATTCAATTAATAATGAATCATAGTGGTTTCTAGTTCAACAAATGGTACCAGAGTACCAACAAAAATTCTGAAAGAAGTTCCTGATTCCCATCAGCAGCATACCATGTTACAGACACAGAGGATGCGGATCACTGAAGCCCTATCCATTCAGACATCAGCAGAATGGCTGCAAATGCCATGTGATTTCCAGTTATTACTCGTGGATTAGAAAGGATCCACTGTACATGTTATTCTCTGGAGGCAACAACAGGAGTGTCTATGACAGACTGTTCTGTGACCTTAACATTCAGCATGAAACAAAATGCAGACAGAGTAGCCAGATTCAAGAGACAAGTGGGAAAAAAAGAGGAAGTGGGAGGTGTGCAAACGGACGTGTGCTGGACGGTCACAGAGGGAGTTCTCACCACCGATCCATGAACGCACTTTTGATGAAGAGAACATTCTATATTTACTGGAAGTTGCTGTTTGTGATCCTAACTCTAATCTTCCGTCTTGGGTTTGGTGGGTACCCACCAGGTGCCGACATGTGCATTCAGGTAAGTATCTTGGGGTTCTGTCAGCCCGCCGTGCGCAGCACCCCGCCTCTCTGTGGTGCTCCCGGTGTTCCTCCTCACTCTTGCCTTCCCTCTTACCACTGTGCTCGCAGGTCTGCCCCCTCCACCCCGCCTCGTTCCCCCTTAGTTGTCCTGCTCTCAGCCACCATCTCCCAGGTCTTGATTCCTAGTTCCAATGCGTACTAGCTTTGTGACCTTGGGTAAATCACCAATTCCTCCGAAATGCAGTCTCCTCATCATCTGAAAATGCTGGGGGTGCTTAGGTATCTATGAAGCACCTGGCACAGTCCCTGGTGCACTAGAGGCCAGATGTTCTGTTTCCTTTTCCTCAATTCAGAGGTTTCTCCCTCCCAAGATTCAGTCTGAGGGCTCTTCCAAAAGTGGCTGAATCTTTACTATCTGTCCCACTAGCGTCTGTCAACGCCTTTCTCTTCCCTTCAGGATTGAAGTAAAAAGAGACAAGGGAATGGCACCAATGAAGGATGTACTTTATTCCTTTCTGGACTTCCCCAATGTTACCTGCATAGAGGCCTTAGAGAAATCTCACAAGAGCTCAGTACTCCCTTAAGGAAGCTGGGGAGTGCAGGAGTTTAGAAAGCTCATTCTGGAGTCAGCCTGCCTAGGCTTACTTCCTGGTGCTGTGGGACCCTGGACAAGCCATGTAAACTCTCAAAGCAGTAGTTATACTGTATGATTGTGGTGTGGGTTAAACGAGACAACCTAAGCAAAGTTCTAGGAAGAGAACCAGGCCTGTGGTAAATGCTCAGTACAGTGAGTTGTTTCTGTAATTGTTTAAAAGGCAAAACACGGGGCCATCAAGCGTTTTGCTTTACAATAGGCGAGTCTTTCTTTTTTGAGGCTCATGGGAGCAGAGGAAAGGACATAGGCAAGTAGACTCTGGGGGCTCCTGGCAGAAAAGGAGTAGGAGGTTGGGCTGCTGGCCTGGCCCATGCAGGGCTTCTGAGAGGCAGACCTACAAAGTCACTTTCCAGGGCTCCTGCTCCTGGAGCCCAGGCCTAGGTTGGCATCATCACACACTGAAGGGGGGGTGGGGAGATAGATCTCATCTTGGTGGATTAAGGGAGGGTAATGCTATCCTCGGTGGTACAAATGGTTTGTCTGGCTACTAACCAAAAGGCTAGCAGTTTGAACCTACCAAGCAGTGCCATGGAAGAAAGGTCTGGATTATAGCCAAGCAAATCCTGTGGAGCTCAGTTCTACTCTGTCACGCATGGGTCACCATAAGACAGAATCGACTCAATGGCAATGGGTTTGTTTGTTTTTGTTTAATATGATCCTGACCTCCTACATGCATTTTCTTCAGAGATATGAAGTGCTCAGAGGTTACGCTCTCTGGCACTTTTGGGTTAAACTGAGCTGCCCTTTGGGAACATAATTATCACTGATGTCATCAGTCCTTTGAGAAATACAACCCAGGTTTCAAGCCTCTACTTCTTGCACATAAGCCATCACTTAGTTAGGTGGCTGCTATCTGTACAGACTCGGTGGAAAGAAGAGGACTGGCACAGAGAAGACTCCAGTCCTCTGCGGGGACTTCACAATTAAGAGCCATGGGGCATTTCAAGCTTCAGTCAATGGCACGTTTACAGTCTAAACACATGGTCAGTAAGAAATACATTCCATTTTCTGTTTGGCTTACCTGTTGCCGTCGAGTCGATTCCAACTCAATAGTGACCCTATAGGACAGAGCAGAACTACCCCATAGGGTATCCAAGGTTGTAATCTTTATGGAAGCAGACTGCCACATCTTTCTCCCACAAAATGGCTGGTGGGTTCGAACTACCAACCTTCTGGTTAGCAGTTGAGTGATTAACCACTGCGCCATCAGGGTTCATCTCTGTTTGGCTTACTATATCAACATGTTAACTGTTTTTTTAAATGAGTTCCTGTGCCTTGGTGCATATGGGTCTCCCTCCCTCTGGTACGTACAGATAACATCCACAGGACTCCCACACAGCCGGCATCTCTGCCGTCTGGGACTGTGGTTCTTTACAAGAGGAACCGTGTTTAAAAACTTAGCACAACATGTTATTAAAATATGGATCAAATTTATGTATTATTTTCTAAACTTGAATGCTAATATTAACAAAACTGTCTTAAGACCCACTTTTTGTAGGAAATTCAGTATCAACCCTATGTTCTCTCCATTGAGAGAGAGAGTACTTTTAAAAAGAAAGCTATCAGCCTCATCTACTGCTGGTGGGATTACAAACTGGTGCGGCCATTGTGGAGAACCGTTCGGTGGTTCCTCAAAAAGTTAAACATAGAATTACCTTTTAACCTAGCAATTCCACCTCTAGGCATATACCCAAAAGAATTGAAGGCAGGAACACAGACACTTGTACACCAGTATTCACTGCAGTACTACTCACAATAGCCCAAAAGTGAAAACAACCAAGTGTCCATCAAGATGAATGGATAAACACAAAATGTGGTACATACATACAGTGGAGTATTACTCAGCCATAAAGAGAAATGAAGTCCTGATACACGCTACAACATGGGTGGACCTTGAAAACATTATGCTGAGTGAAAGAAATCAATCACAAGAGGACAAATATTGTGTGATCTCATTTATAATGAAATACCCAGAATAGTCAAATGCACAGAAGCCGAAGTTCCTTAGTGTTGGCCTGGGGTGGGTGGGAGGGGTAAATGAGAGGGTCTTGCTTAAGCAGTACAGTTTGTGTTAAGGATGATGGAAAACTTGGAAATGAACAGTGGTAACTGTTACACATCCTGGTGAATGTAGTTAATGTCAATGAACTGTACATGTAAAAGTGGTTGAAATGTTTTGTTACATATATTTCACAGTAAAACTTTAAAAAATTAAAAAAAAAAAAAAAGGAGAGAGCGCTCGCCATCTCCTGCTACGGGTTATGTCCCTTCCCACGCTGGCCCGCTTGACTGGCTAATGAGCCACACGGCCCCCAGTCCCCCCTGTGATACATCTGCTGCCGGGCACACAGGCAGGGGGTTCTCAGTACTGATCGTTCTATTGTTCAGGATTTGGTAGAACATGGTAATACTGCTGTCCTTAGAACAAGCGTTTGAGGTAATAAGTAAGAAATACAAGTAAGACACAAGACTGTTGCCTAAACAGAATGAAATATGGGAAAACACTTAGAAAGAATAAACATAGACTTAAGAAATAATTCTTGACACAAAACCATTTTAGGCCAGATGAAATTAGAAGATATTTAAAGAATCACAAGTATTACAACTACTTTTAACCCCTGGTTGACGATTTATCTATGCCAATTTTGGTCTATAAAATGGTTGTGGTTCACTTCACTACCATATTCGCGTACTTCTTTGCTGTTTCTTACCCGTGATGTGTCTCCCTCCTGCTTAATCATATCCATTCCAGGCAGCTGGTTTGGGAACAGGTTGCCTCCCCTCAGAGCAGGATCACTAACCTGAGGGGACAAGACACGACAGTGGCTATATTCAGCAGATGCCCGAGTGTACTGGGGAACAACCTACCATCAATTTTCCTTTAAGTATAGCTACTGGGAGAAAACCCAGAACCAAGCCCACTGCCGTCAAGTTGATTCCAACTCATAACAACCCTATAAGACAAGAGTAGAACTGCCGCCCATTGGGTTTCCAAGGAGCAGCTGGTGGATTCTAACTGCCGACTTTTTGGTTAGCAGCTGAGCTCTTAACCACTGAGCCACCAGGGATCCCTACTGGGAAAAGGGGGTACATAAAGTTAGCTTCATTCCTGTGTCACTTCCCCCATGGATATATTTTGGGAAGTATGGAGAAACATGAAAATAAATACTTTAAATAATAGACTAGTTGCCTACAAAATTAAATTTATCTGCATTTGGTACAGAAATCAAATTCAACAGAGAAGATGATACTAGGAATATTTTCATGAACACAAGTCATGTGTTCAGTTTTTGGCTGGTTCAAATTAGACCAGTGACTCACATCTGGGACTTTGAAGTCATCTGAGGGCCCCTGATATCTTTGCTACTGAGACGAATCATTTACTAGTGAGAGCAAGTGTGAATACCCAAAACAGGCTGGATTCTGTGAATCTATTCTGATCAAGTGAACTATTCATTAGCATCTATACACTTCTCTCACAAACTACAAAATAAATGTACAATGCTAACAGGAATCATTTTGTCAGAAGACACACACTGCAGTTGTGTTTTGGGGGGCTTTCAAATCAACTCCGGTATTGAAAAGGCTTAAATCTGTGCAAAAGTTTTAAATCAATCTGGATTATTAAAGATGCACCAATTTACTTCTCAGTAGGTTGGGTTTGGACCCGTGTTAGACCAGACAATCTCACGCACACTTTCCCTAGAAAGCAAAATAGGAATTACTAGTGGCCTACTTTTCGGAGGAAATTCAACATTAGTTTTATATTTTCTCCAATGACAAGACACAAATCCTTATTTCTTTATGTCTATTTAACTGATTTACTCAAGCATTTAGCCACCATCATTTAGCTAAAGAAGTACAAGTTATTAGTACTAAACACACACACATGCACACACACACACAAATATATAATATGTATACACAGATTTCTTAAACTGCAAAGGGCTTTCAGTTTTCTCATCTATCATTTTAAGTCATTCAAATTTTCTGTGCCTCAATTTCTCCATATGTAAAATAAGATTCAGGGTTCTTGCCACATTTTAAGTTTGCGTGAATTACTGACTATCAGTGGTTGAATGACAAGCATTTGGTGCCCTTTGAGAAATAAGATCTTCTGTGAAATTATTAATCTTCATCTTTACTTCTAGGTTAGCCCACGACAGATTTTAGATCCAAGGCGGGCACTACTATCTCAAACGCTTTGAGTCTCTTTGCTACCTAGTGAAGCTGGCGTGTACTTCGGGCCGGCAGAATCATTTCACTGTTATTCAATACAAAATAAAATTATTAAAAAAAAATCATTGACAAAAAAATCATGGTATCCATATTCCAAAGGTTAAAAATAAGAAGAATGGTTTCTGCATTACCTGTGTCAGTCCCCTTACACTAGTGAAGTATCCTTTAAGGCAAACTGGATGGCTGGTAATTTGGCCCTTGCTTTTCATCTGGTCTTGCATTCAGAAAAAAATCAGTTCTAAACTATAAATCCAAAATAAAGCTATTTAAAAAGCACATTTACCATGCCCTCTTCAGAGATTCAGCTTAGATACTGTTAAATTCCTCAAATAAGAGAAACAAATGGCAAGAAAGTTAAGAAACATTTTAAAAGATCCTTGAGCAGTCAGGAACCCTTTCATGTTTATTTTGTCAGTAACAAGTAAGTCTGCTAATCTCATTAACACAGGTTAAATGAAGGTGATAAAATACTCTTCAAAATAAATGTGGGAGTTGACAGCAGATGTTAAGTACATGGAAAGATACATTTAACAAAGAAATAGACACAAAGTCCCCACCAGAAGAAAAAGGTTGCTTCTCATTCTCTGGGAGCTCACCTGCTCGGGACCCATGGAGGACAGCCCTGATGTAGGCACAGAGGTCACTGAGGTCATGCTGATCTGTCCTGTCATCTGGTTCATGTTGTTTATGCCACTTGTATTGGTTGCCAAGGATACATTGATGTTCATACTGTTATTGTACATGCTGGTGTTTGCTTGCTGCCCGAAGTGTGGCGGGGACTGCTGTGAAAACACGCTGTAACATAACCGGAAGATTGAAACGTTAGAGCCTTGTGGCAAGCAGAGCCGGGCATTTCTGAGTACTTGGGCGTTTGTTCACTTTAGAATGAAGGGTGGAAAAGTTGGCCAAGGTGAGAGGGTGAGGTCTGAAACTGTGTGGCAGACAGTCACCAAAGCTGTAGAGGCGACCAAGCGCTTCACGTCACTGTGGAGGTCTAGAAGTATACCCCCAACTTTCATGTCTACATCAGACAAACCTTTTGTTTTTGTCTGTTTTTTATCACATGTATAATAAAGCAGGGCTTTGAACTAGTTCTGCCCGGTTCAATCGTGGCCAAGGAAGCATCACTGGAACAGACTAGAATTTTAAAAATTTGGGTGATTCATGACGGTACCTGGAATGGGAAAAATTATGGGTTGAAGCCTAGCTAGAAACTTACTCTCCCTCTTAGAAAACAAGGGTAGTGTACACTTTGCACACTAAATCTCTTGCCCTCATATTTTGAGCAGATTCGGAAACAGCGCTGCCTTGCTCAAAGACGGCGGCACCCCACTCAGAGACGGGGGTGCACTCTCCAAAGTCCTGCCAACAACCCAATCTCCCGCATCAGGCTGTGGAAAGAGCTCACTGTGACTCTTCCGAGTCTCCCATTCCAGGGCTTCCACCTGTAATGTTTCCTGTTCTGGATACCGTGGCGAATCACCCAAATTGTAAAACTTCCAGTCTATTCCTGTTTCGCTTTGTCGGCCTTGACTGAACCAGTTTGAAGCCTTGCAGTAAAGGATGGTTTCTAGGTCGCTGCCTACCACAGTAGCTTCTATCATAAATTGGTTGAGTGGTACCTCTCAGGTAGTTCCTTCCCCGCAGTTTTACTCCCAGTGAAAAGGTATTCTACGAATGATATTAACAAGCACCAAAATGGCCTCTGTTTTTACTGAGCTTTGGTAAATTCTGGTGACTTCTGCCTTAGGAATAGTAAACTTGCTTACTTAGCATTTTACCAGATACTGCTTGCTTGAGCAAAGAAATTAAGAAAACTATAGAAAAGAGGGAGCCCTGGTGGCACAGTGGTTAAAAGCTCGGCTGGTAACCAAAAGGCTGGCAGTTCGAATCTACCAGCCATTCTTTAGAAATCCCATGGGGCAGTTCTACTCTGTCCTATAGGGTCACTATGAGTCAGAATTGACTCGACAGCAATGGGTATAGAAAAGAGACAGGTGGTCTATACAAAGATTCCCTGGTAATCATTTATATCAAAAACATATCAAAACGTGGAGTTACCTGTTTCCACCCATATTCCCCTGTGCCCACCCATTCATGTCTGAAGAGGCCTGATAGGCAGGATTAGCTGGAGACTGCTGTATCATGGGACTTTGGGTATGCGCCATTCTGGGCGACATCAGAGGACTCTGGGGAGCTGTAGCTCCAGTGAAGCCTGGATCAGGTTGCTGACTTATTCCTTAAAAAACAAAACAAAAATCCAAAGGAGATTGTTAGTTTTATTATAGAGAGTAAGGGGGAAAAGCACATTTCAAATCAAATACACATAGATAACTACTTTTAATTACTTCATCCTGTGCTTTTTACATACATTTCCAAAAGATTCCAAGCTGGGATAATTAATATATTTGAAGAAAAAAATCTCCCCACCTTTATACTCTATGGTAGTTAGAGGGGTATCTAGAAAGCATATCAACCATCATGGCTAGAGTGAGAGAGAGAAAATACCATTTTTTTCCCTATTAAAAAACCCTATTGTTGTTGAGTCAATTTCGACTCATAGTGACCCTATAGGACGGAGTAGAACTGGCCCATAGGGTTACCAAAGCTGCCATCTTTACAGAAGCAGATTGCCACATCTTTCTCCTGCAGAGCTGCTGGTGGGTTCCAATCGCCAACCTTCTGGTTAGCAGCTGAGCATTTAACCACTGCACCAACAATGCTCCTTTCTTTTCCCTATGTCCCTCCCCAAATCAAGAATGGGTCAAATATGTATATATTTTTTCTCATTATGACCTAAAATAGTCACAGTCTTTATGTTAAATTTTGGTATATAATTAAAATTGGATGGTTTTAAATGATTAAAGTTCAGTTATATATAAAGTCAACATATTTGAATGATTTTTCATTAATTAAGCTAATCCATGATTAGATACATTTAAAAAAATAAGCAACTGCATTCATGATTAGCTTGTTTTGTCTTTATAAAGGGCTCTTTGGTACTTTAGTGTTCTGCAAGATTAGCAAAACTAAGAAAGAAAATTCAATGTATATCAAATGGCATTTACGCTACCAGAAAAGAACTTTAATCAGACTTTCCCAAATCAAAAAGGAAACAGGGGAAAGGAGTTAGAAAATGAAGGAGGCAACTTCTTAGACAATTTCAAGGATGACATTAAGGTGAGCACATTTCTGCCTAGAAGATTAGTAAAGCAAGCACAATTTAATGAATCATTTAAATTAACTATAAAAGAAAAATTTAAGATCACACAGAAAGAAAGCTGCAAATTCTTTGTTTCTATAAAGAAATAGGAATCCTGAATTTAGTCAATATAAACACTTGAAAATTATTTGTAGATGACGCTGGCACAAGGCAGGGAGAGTAATTTTTAATATTAACGTTAATGTAAGCACTTTTATCAATATGTCGACTATTAATTGAACATGACATGCACTACAAATATTAACATTTATAACATTACACGCTTGGTATCTATCTCTTAAGACTGACATTAAACAACAAATCAATAAGAAGAAAATGAAGAGCTCTTCCATTGTGGTTTATATATAGTACTTCTCAAGAATTACGTACTCATTAAAGATTTGGTATAATCCTTAAAGACTTCATTTTTTAAAAGTTGTAGAATGTCTTAATTTTTAAATTTATATATGTCTTTCAACATTTTGTATATGTTTACTGATTTGTTTCAGTCAGACTCAGAGGCTTTCAAATATAAACAAATACAAATATAAATGTGCCTGTGTTAACAGAAATTGACATGAACATATATATTCATACACACTCACACACACGACAGACAGATACAATACACGCACACACACTTACTTCGGTCATTCTTAAAGTAAGACCTGCACTCAGAGAAAAGGTGGTACCTGAGCTGAGAGACTGGAAGGTACTGTGCTGGACTTGGGGACTCCTGACAGGCCCCAACTGTCCTCCCGGGTTTCCTATCATCCCCTGGTTAGCCAGAGTCATCTGGGAGCTATGCAAGGAGCTGTGAGAGAGGAGCTGTGACCCAGGACTGGGGGGCACCGGGGAGAAAGAACTGGTGAAAGGTGGTGGGGTTGAAAGTCCAGTACCGTAGTTTGGAGGGAATGGAAACTGCTGTGCGTTTGCCTGGGGAATCCGGGGGTTGCTCAGAGTCGCTGGTATACCACCAGAAGCCACCATGCTTGGTGTCAGATTCAACCCTTGTCCTCTCATCATCAAAGTTCGCTGCTGAACTTGCTGTTGCTGATGCATTTGTCTCTGACGAAGATGCTGGTTCAGGATTTCCCTCTGTCTCTGGGCCAGCATCTGTGCATTAATAGGCCCCTGAAATTGAAGCAATATATGGAGGAAAACACTGGGGGTACACACAGATTGAAAAACAAACTATCACAGACAGAATAACCGATGGTACGTCTCACGGAAAATTATTTGGAAAGAACATCTTAGAGTTGAACAACTGGTGGTCGAAAATGTGGTTGTCTGAGTTCTATGGAAATGACATGATTATTCGAAACCCTGTTACGGCTTTCATGGTTAAGTTTAATGTCAATTAACTTTGGACTAATTTCCAGAGGACACAGTTACCTAAAGGACCTCCAATAACACCAGTCCTATCAAGACTGTGATATAAGCCTTGAAGATGGCAGTTTAGGGTCTCATTCAAGGGACACTCAGGTCTAAAGAGAAACAAATCCTTGTGCCAAAAGGTGGCTTGGAGCACGTTAGCAAAGGCTGCTCAGAGGCAGGAAGAAAGGGGAGAGCAGGGAGCGGGGCTGATAAGAATCCAATAAAGAGGCAAGGACAGAATGGAATGGGAAGGGAAGGAGGAAATGAGAGAGGGAAGGAAGGAGGGGTAACAATGCTGCTGTCACTAAGAGGGATAAGGCTGTCTATGCGTCCTAACAACACAGTCGATCTTCATTATTTACGGATTCTATTTACAAATTTGCCTACTCACTAAAATTTATTTGTAACTCCAAAATCAATACTTAGGGCATTCTCACAATCATTTGTGGACATGCTCTAAGGGCAAATACAAATTAGAACTAAAAAAGAAAGAAAGGCTAATTCCCTCTGTAGAAAAAAAGAGAAGAGGCCTCCTCCACTTGCCACTTTTCTTACAACGTTTATGTTAGAAAGGTTGTAATTATAATAAGTCTTTCTCTGCCTCTTTGTGATGTGTGTAAATCTTTGCAAAGGCTAAACAAGCCTCTTGCCAACTGTGCAACCCAGGCATGTTTCCTCAAGGACCTGGAAGCCATCTCTGATCTGTAATCAATCAAGGAAGACAGTGCCCGTGTCCCAGTCTTCCAAGGGGATAGAAGCCTGACTTCAACTGGGGCTTGGCTCCAAGGTGTACAGCTACCTCCAGAGATGGAGATATGAGAAATTAATTTTTTTCTTTGGTAAAGGCAGTTCGCAAACACAGGTGGCTATCCCAACTCCCAGGTGAATTTAGGATGAGCTATGTGTGACAAACGGTGCTGTCAAGTCCTCTGACTTGAGGACTAGTTGTCATTTGCTGTGAGAACATGTCTGACAGGGGCTGCCTTAGCTTGTCTCTATAAAAGGATAAAATCTCTTTCTGTCTCGGCAGTCTCTTTAGCAGATTTCCTGAGATGCACAGCATACTCAGGTTTGATGCTTATTTAAAAACAAAACTGTCCTACTTCTGTCGACAGTTTTGTTTGGGTCGGCAGGAGACTCTGTTTCTAATTACGCTTCCCCAACGACGCACAGAGTTGCAAAAACTCTGAGTTGCCCAGTGTGTGCGTTTCCAGCTGAGGCTGAACAAGGCAGCGTTCTGCCTCCTTGCTTTAGCTCTCTTACTTAAACGAGGGTCCTTTCCACGGTCCAATGAGTGCCACGTTTCCCACAGCTCAGAAGACTGATGTGCCTTATGGAGACAGGCTCTGCTCGGGCATGAGTTATAGTGTTGCTGGCCGTGAGTTCAATGTTAACCAATCAACAATAAATTAAATAAGGTGTCTTTAAACAGAAACATACATAAAACAAGGTTATGCATCGATCAGTTGACAAGAATGTGACCAGAGGTTTGCAGGAGCCTGCCCTGTATTTCCCCTAGAGCTGGGGTTCAGTGTTCACTAATTCAGTGTCTGCAACAACATCACGGAACGTAACGATCGTGAGTGACGAGAATCGCCTGTGCCTGGCAATAAATGGCAGTGTTTAGGAGGTGACTACAGATCGACAGACTAGAGATGAGTAACCAGGTGACATTACAGGTGCCGATCCAGATCTTGTGAGCCACTGTGTTATTTTACTCAGGATGTTGGGGAGGAAGAAATGACAAGAGAAGGTAAATGGACACAATAAAGAGATAGAACTTGAAAGCTGAGGCTGCCGCTGTCAGCTCCCTTACCTGTGTTGGTACTCCAGGCCTCAGAGTCAAGTTCACATTGGAAACATTGCTGATTTGATTCATAAGTGGCTGGCGATTCTAAATACACACACATAGGAATCAATACATTTTTTTCAAACAGCATATATTTTATTTCAAATGACCTTTCCCAAGTAACTGCCCCCTCTAGCCCCCATCAGCATGCTGCTGGATATTAAAGTCACATGGTTGGTAGGTGAATTCCCATTTAAAACTAGTGATCAGCTTATAACTGAGAAGTTATTTTGGACTGTTTGGAAAAAGGGGTAGAATGATCAGAAAAGGAGGCCAAGAGGAAGACTGGAGAAATAGCAGTGATCACTCATAAAAATGAGACCGGATTTTAAAGCTTATAGTATTATTATTTACTGTACTGCAGAAATCTAAGGCTGATGCCGTGGGAGAACATCTTCCTGAGCCACGCAGGTATTTTGTAAGGCAGCGCTGCTCTGCCACGGCTCAGCTAACAGTGACTATTTGTGCCATCAGAAGAAGAAATGACAGCAGTTTTTCAGAGTGCTCACTTTGAGCCAGGCACTGTGCCAGGCCCTTTAAACATATACATATTGCCCTTTATCTGTACAAAACCTCTATTTTATAGATGTGAAAACTGAGGCTCAGAGAGCTCAAGATTTGCTAGCTAGTAAATAACACCCACTGCCGTCAAGTCAGTTCCGACTCATTGTGACCCCACAGGGTTTCCAAGGCTGTAAATCTCTACGGAAGCAGACTGCCACATCTTTCTCTCACAGAGCTGCTGGTGGTTTTGAACTACTGACCTTTTGGTGAGCAGTCAATTGCTTTAACTACTGTGCCACCAGAGCTCCTAGAACTAGGATATCAAAGGATAGATGCTCTATGTTAGAGTTAGTGGAGGAGAAAGAACGGAAGTCAAAAGGAGTATGAAAATTATAGGATCATCCTGGAAAAGTTTTCACCCTCCAAGAAAGTGTGGAATGAGACAGCCCTCCAATCGTCACACAGATTGCTGTGCCATCTCACATCAACCTCCCCTACGTCCATCCCCTACCGCTGCCATCCCGCCTGTCCGGGTACCGACTGAAAACCCTACCTGCTGTGCTTGGAGGCGATGCTGAAGTTGAAGTCTCAGTTGATTTGGCTGGGTCTGCACGAGGCCAGCGGGCCTGAGGCCTGGTCTGGGTTGCATTCGGAGTGTGGCATAACTAGGTCGCTGTCCCATGGTGTGGAAGTTTGGATCCTGCATGGGGGTATAGCTACCCGGAGCCATCTGCGCCTGAGACGCATACTGCTGTGGGAAAACTGGGGCCTTCTGCTCCATCATGATGCTGGAATCCTGACTTGAGAACTGTTCTGGATCTACCGCTTGGCTCTGAAGAGAAAGGCCCAGATAACGCATAAATAAATCCACTAAAAACAGCAAAGTAAATATCAGGCTCTTTTCACTCACTGACATATATTTGAAGCTTGTTATACGTTGCTGACTACACAGAGGTATTTTTAGGCTGATGCCACTTTTCCCTCTGGAACATATCTCTGTTTAATAGGGCCAGTTACACAAGGAAGGTAGTAGGGTGGAGCTGGGCTCCCAGCAACACTTCTTCCAAGGGAATGCCTCCTACTCAATCCACCAGAGACTGACCTCGACTTTAAAATGCAAATATCCTCTAAACTTGTTACTTTTTTTCCCCCTTCATTCAAAAATTTATATACCAATTGTTTTGTGACACTGGCTGCAATCCTTGTAATGTGTCAGCACTCTCCCCCTTTCCCATTTCACCCTGGATTCCACATGTCCATTCGTCCAGTTTTCCTGATCCTTCCTGCCTTCTTGTCTTTGCTTTTGGGCAGGTGTTGCCCATTGGGTCCCGTATGCTTGACTGAACAAAGCAGCACATTCCTCACGTGTTATTGTTTGTTTCATAGGCCTGTCTAATCTTTGGCTGAAAGGCAGACTTTGGGAATGGCTTTAGTTCTGAGTTAGCAGGGTGTCTGGGACCACAGTCTTGGGGTTCCTCCAGTCTCTGTCAGACCAGTACGCCTGGTATTTTTTTGTGAATTTGAATTTTGTTCTACATCCTTCTCCCGCTCCGTCTGGGATCCTCTATTGTGATCCCTGCCAGAGCAGTCAGTGTTATTGTTTTTGATTGATTATTCACACCTTGTATAAATCACTTTAATTGGACAACATACTTGAGCAGTGCTGAGACAGTCACCATCATTATCTCCACTTTACAGATAAAACTGAGGCTTGGCGCCATGGAGCGAGCCGCGAGACAGCTATCCAACCAGTAAGTAATGGGTTCCCGTCCAGGCGTGTGACTTGGGACCTGGCTCCTCACCCATGTGGTGCACTGTCTTCACCTGCTTGTTTTCTGCGGCGGCCAGAATCTCCCACATGCCCCACATTCTACCACCAGCCTCTTATTACCTACTAGACACACCTAATGTGTCTGTCACTTTGGACTTCTTAGGACTAGCTTATCTTTCTGGGTCAGGTGGGAGAGGTGTAGAAAATCCAGAACTTCTGCAAGGGGAAGACTTCAGGTCCAGGTGGCCTTAAATGCCTACGTTGAGAAGGGAAAGGGTGTGCCTGGTTACACTCCTCCTCTTCTACTTCTAGGAGCAACTGCCACAAACCTGACATTATAACGGAAGGAGGGGAGGACGCCGCAGCAACAAAAACTCTCAAGGATTTGTCAGCCTGGTAACTTGCTGGGCCTTCCTCAAACCAGTTTACCTGTGTTGATCAGGGGCCGATGATGGTGCTAAAAATGCGATGGGGCCTCAACAGGGGAAACCATTCCTTGTTGAATTGCTGCTGACAACACACGCAAACTACCCCCGACTTTTCAGTATGTACCCATCTCAAACAGAGAAACATTTAATTACGGAAATTTACAACTACGAGTACAAACGAAGTACACTTCCGCTGACTCTATCTAGTAATCATATTTCAGTAATTTAATAAAAAATGAAAATAATACAAATAAATGAAAAAAGGAGACTAAAAATATTAAATGATACAATGACACCAGTTTTGATAAAACAATGTTATAAGTCACTCAGCAAACCCAATGACTGCAATTTTAAATGTCACTTTGACATACTGAAGGATAATAATAAATGTTAAACCTAACTAATGTTAAAAGCAAAGCAAACCAGCCACATAGGAAAGATTGAAACTCCATTTTCCTTTCTTGATTTATTTCAGGTTATAGCATGTAACCTTGTCATTTCTTTCCATTCTGCTGTTCTCAGTATGAACTGTCGAGTCTTAACTCCCACTTATGTCTGTTAAGCTGTGGGAATTATGACAAGACTATTTTTAATGCTTCATAGAAGTCTCCAATGACTCTGCATCACCCTCTCACAGACCCTGATGACACATCACACGTCCAAGAATTAGATCTCATCACTTTTTGATAATAAGAAATAAAGATGATTCATGCCAAGTAGAGAGGAGGACAGTGAAAAAGAGGGTAGGTGACAGTTTTTTCTAGGTTACTCTTTAAACAGTAAGCCAGGATGTACTGCTTCACACCAACTTAACTGTATATTTATGTCCATTTTAAGAACTGCCAGATTCAGATGATATTGTTGCTATAAAGTACTCTCAAAGTACTCTCAAAGGAAAACAAGCATGCTAAGGTTACTTCTTCATATTCCCATTTATTCTTAAATACTCCAGCATTACTGTGGGCTAAACCCACACACAGGTAAAATAATGAATTAGCCTCAGCTACTTCTAAAATAAACTCTTTTGCACAACTAGCTCAAGGATATAAGGTTAGCACAGTGATGGCAGGCTACAGGTGAGCGTATTAGCTCTGAGATGATAAAGTTGTAGGTCAGCAGGAAGGAAGGTTCTAGTCTTTGAGTCTCTGCTCCTTGTCTGGCCTTTCCTGGGAGCCAGTGCCAACACCAGGTGAGCTGGACTCGAGCCTCTGCCTTCCTGCTCAATAACCCCAATCATGTGTTAAGGTCTTTCTCAGTGTTCTCCATTTCTGGGCAAATGTTTACGGGAGAGTGACAAGCAAAGGGGGAGAAAGAAAACAGAGCTGGTCTATTGGGAGGTTAAAAAGTATTGAGAAGCAGGCTGCAGATTCCCTGTGAACAAAAGAAAATGAAGACGTCTGTGCCCGAGAATGCCTGGCCTAATTAGCTTCCTCATGGCACATACCTGGCTGACCAGCTCGGGTATTCCCAAAGCTCTGTCAATCTCCTCCAGGCCGTCGAAGTTCCGCAAGGCCAAATACAGCTGATCCAGGAGCGCCCCCTCATCACTTGGGGACTCTGACGCAGGATGTGGACACAGCAAGTCATCAGGAGAGCTGCCAAACGGCTGCCTGTGAAGACACAAACAGTCCTGGTCCTATGAACAAGGAAGCTGATTAGAGAACACTTTTCCTTACAAACAAAAGTATCACTGGACTTCCAGGGTCTGATGTAAACTACTGAACCAGCCCAACTTAGAGCCAAATGACAGTCTGAAATAAGAGATACGATTTACTCAGTGCCTAGTACAGGCAGGACACAATCTAGGGATCTGACATGATTTTTATTTTTACAGGCAGTCCCCGGGTTACAAACATCTGACTTACAGACAACTTGTACTTAAGAAGGGACTGCCACGAAGCCTATTATATTAAAAACATGAGTTAAACATACAACGGTTCGAAATAACGAACACACACACTGCTTCGTGGGATAAGTGGCTAGGAAAACTGAAATAACTTTAAAAGTGGTAAAAATGCTGTTCTGTCCACACAGTTCGAAAGAGAAAATCATCAGATGGTAACAGAAGCGACAACAGGAGGGGGCAGTGCCGGGTCACAGAGACTGGCTCAGCAAACCCAACAGCTCACTCTGTAAACGGACTACGCATAAATCTGGAAGTCTTCCGTTTTTGTCTTAACAGAACTTCCATCTGTTTGGCCAACATAAAAATCATAACGTTAGGCCTAGTTTTCCCTAGAAACTGATCTTTGACTCTTCATACAAAACAACCATCAGCTGCTGGATTTAATTATTTTACTACATTTGTATTATGTACACGTTCCCACGGAAACAGGTGGGTTTTTAATATACCAAACAAACATATTCAGAAAAAGCACAAGATTCGCCGACACCGTGAAATTGGGAATTGGAAGGCCCTTGAGAAAATCACGACCTCCGAGTATGACGACGAGGGTGACTTACACGCTGCTCTGTCCCCAAGTGGCTCCAGGGTTGGAGCTTACACGGCCTCCCTTGTGGCCAGCTCAGTGGGAACACTCACTGCAGAGTCTCCTCCTGCGTCTATTCCTCCACTGCCTCAAAGTGCAGCCAGGGGATGGGCAGTGGGCATCACCCGGGGGTCTGTCAGAAACCCAGACTCTTGTCCCCCGTTCCCTTACACCCGGTGATTCGCAATCTCCATTTAAACAAGACCCCGGAGGTAGGTAGTTCATAGTCTGAGAAAAAGTAGTCGTCTGCTTCTCCCCCTACGTGGATGGAATACACAAGCTGAGTACCCTTCTTTATTTCCTTAACCTTTTGTGCCCGCTGGTGCATGCAGCGACCATGGACTTTTTCAGCCCCTGGAGCTTATTGGGAAGCTGCCATACCACTGACAGTGCGTGCTGCTGCAAGGCAGGGCCTTTATGACTGAAACCGAAGACATGGGCGTGTGTGTGCACAGATTACTGTTCTTACAGGGTACTGTATGAGGTGTCTGAATTTCTGGAAGGAAAAACAGAAATTCTGATTTGTTACACATATGTACCAGTGGACTCTGGGGTAGAATTAATGGTACATCATATGTACCGAGGGACACTCAGCGTGGGCTTGTGGGAGGAGGCAAGAAAAAAAAAATCCATACTACCTACGAAAAATTCAGACACACTCGGTGATTCAGCCTGCTTCCATTGATGAAAAGACATGGTATCAACAAAAAATTCAAAGCAGAAAATAATTGGGTCACCAAAGGGTTGAGACCGTTATTAAGCAGTTCCTTTCACCTTCTTTTCCCTGAGCAAAGAAGCTCTAGCTCCAAACCTCTCTCACATATCCCAGTGGCGTGCCCACAGTCATCTTCTACTATTTTGTTTTTTTAAACTTCACTGAATCCTCTGATTCCTTTATTACTTCCCTAGGATACAGAAAGGAAAACAGGTACCATATCGTAATCCTGAGCCTGTGCGATGTCGACCAAGACAAAGTGTTACATCCCAGAGTGGACTCACTCTGAAACCTGTGTTTTAAAACGAACAAGTAAGAGGCTCTGGAAATATATTCCACCCTTGTGAGATTTCAGAAACCCTGCAGACTCATATCATTTCTGAATTTGAGGACTTATTACATAATTACAGACTTAGACTAATAATCCCCAAAGGACAAAATTTTCAGTCTGCAGTAAGGTCCTCACTGAGCCTCTGGTCCCAACTCTTTACATATGAGCCTCTAGGTCAAATTTCTTCAGGAATAACTGTAAAAGTCTAAGTTTTCCTCTTAAGTTTACTTTATGGAAAACGTCACCTGCATCATTTAAGTTCCCACACTGCCTCTTGCTCAGACCCCTAACGAATTTCCCTGCCTTGAGGCTTTTGCCCGCCCAGCCCAGCAGAAGCAGCACCATCACTTAGGCCTCACTGTCCCCTGTGGAACTTGTATGTTGAGTGCCGTGCTGAACACTTAGATTACACATACAACAATTTTTATTGTGATGCTGGGTTTGCAGCAAAGTAGGGCACTCTCAAAGACGCAAACAAAAACAAAGCAACTTGAGCATCCACTGTGCCACTGACAACAGGTGCTTTTTATTCACACAGCAGAAGAGAGCTGGGGTTTGGGGCCACAGCAAAGTAAAAGAGCTACCTGAGCCTGTTGGATTAAGTTGAGGGAACCTGGAAAGATGCCGGAGTGGACCTAGATCAGCAGTGACTGCTGCTTCTGGCAGAGACAAAGGCAAATCCTCTCTGGAGAAAAGCATCCTAATGTAGGCCCCTGGTGTTTCACTGATCAAAATCAACCATGAACTCCCTAGGAAGGATTACCAAAATATACAGGGAAACAGGCCACCACCAGTGACAGTAAATCATCAGATTCAGAACCACAAGTAATTCAGATATTAGAATTATCAGATAAAGAATAGAAAATAACTGTGAATGTGATTTTTAAAGAAATACAGAATTACAAAAGTGAGAAAGCACTAAGAGACAACGAAAAATGGCTAATAGAACTTTTAGAAATAAAAAATATAACTGGGTTAAACAGAGCTAAACAGCTCATTAGTAAACTAGACTCTAAATATGAATTATGCTGAATGAAATACAGAGGACAAGATGGAAAACACATCAATTAAGAGGGTAGAAGGAAAAAGAATCTAACACGGAAAGAGAAGGTGTAGCATGTACCTTATCAGGATTCCAGAAAAACTACGGAAAATGGAGGAAAGGCAGGATGTACAGAGATAATGGCTAGAAATTTTCCAGAACTGAGGAATAACATGAATCTGCAGATTAAAACAGCACAACACCTACCAAACACCAAGCATGATAAATAAACAGTTCACACCTACACATACTGCATGGAACTACAACTCATCAAGGGCAAAGACTAGTTCAAAAGCAGCTAGAAAGAAAATATCACTTACAAAGAAACAAAAATAATTAGACTGACAATAAGAAAAGCAGAAACTTCATCAAACTTGATTATATACCCTTTCCTTGTTCAAAAAACTTTTTCAATGGCTTAACAAAACAGTTTGCATTCCTCAGAGTTTGGTATTTGAGATCCTCCATAGACTATTTTATTACAAATCTACTCGTTCAGCTGTATCTTCTGATACTGCTTTACACAGACCCTGTCGATATTGGCTTAAAATTCGCTCACTCCCTGTTACTCTAACACGTGTTGTTGCTTCTGTAACCTCTGGACCTTTGTACACTGCTTTGCCAGCTGGACTGGCTCCTGGGCACGTCTGCCTCCTGAAATCATACCTTTTCTGCACGGCTCTGAAGCGTCTCTAATCACCCTCATTGGATGGTCTCCTGAAACACAGTTTACTTCTCTTTTGGCATTTATACTGCATACTACCTCACAGCATGGTTATTAGTTTGCATATTTTATTTTCCAACTAAATTGTAACTTCTTTGGCATGTCCTAGGTCTTACCAAATTTTGGATTTCTCTCTCCCCCAACTCCCTCCCCAGTAGGCAATGTTATCTGAATGAATGAACACTGGTCAGGCACTAAGTATTCAAAAGAGAAAGATGAGCTTGTAGCATAGATTTAAATCAACTCACAGAACTTACGAGCCACTTCTCCTGGGTGTCTGGACTCACCTGTTCTGGCTGGCAAAAGATGCCTGGTCGATAGGCAGGATGCTCTCAGGCCATGGGGCAGTCTGATTTGGAGGAGCTTGTTGTTGGCTATACTGAGGTCCCCCCATATTCATCTCTAATTCAGAGGGCCCTAAAATAGGGAGAAGAAAAAAAATAGAAACCTTACAATTTGTAATCAAGGAAGTATCTTTTTCTGCTTTGTAAAATATCTGGTTTATGGAAAATGAAAAAGACAGAAGCAATAATAACCTAGATGGAAATAATGAAATAGAATATTTGTTTTGAAATAGAGTTAAAGGACATAAAAATAAAAAACAAATCACCTATTTTAGGGATTATCTAGACTAGTGGCTCTAAACTTTTTGCTCTCAGGACCTTTTATACTCTTTGAAGAAGCTTTTGTTTATATGGATTATATCTCATTGACATTTAATGTACAGACAGTCCCCAGATTATGAACTAGTTCCATTTCTAAGTCTGTCTTTAAGTTGAATTTGTACGTAAGTTGGAGCAGTTAGGTACAGTTTATACCTAACATCAGTTAGTCAACTGTCTTAGTATACAGTATATAGTGTACCTTTCTGTGCATGAAAAACATTAAAGAAATACTTCCAAACACACTAGAACATCTTTAACATAATAATACAGTAACAATAATAATAATGTTTTGATGCACATTACAAAGTAACACGTTTGTTATTACGAATCACTGTATGTACCTTGAATTTTTAATATAAGCTTTATGGGGTTTGGTTCGTAACTACGGGTTGTACGTTAAACTGGACATTCATAATCCAGGAACTGCTTGTATTAGAAACTGAAACTGAGAACTTCTGAAAAACATTTATTAATTTAAAAGTCATAATAATAAATCCATTATGTGTTAATATAAACAAGATTTTTAAATAAAAAACGGAAAAACGATTAGTGAGAAGAGTGGCATTGCTTTGTATTGTTGGAGATTGTGTTAACATCCGGATTTAATACAAGAGAATGAGAATGTCTTATCTGCTCATGCACAACATCTGTTGTGATATTTATTACACAGCACATAACTTCTGGAAAACTCCTCTGTACACTTGTGAGAGAACGGGAGTGAAGAAAGCAAATAAGGCCTTAGTAGTGCCATGAAACTGGCTTTGGTTTCGCAGATTCTCTGAAAGGATTTTGGGGTCTTGGACCACACTTTTGAAAAGTACTGATCCTGAATTTTTCCTTAACTTTTAATCACGCTTCATGTTAGTTCTCCTGCCAAAGCAAGGGCAGAGCAGACAGGAGGCCTGGAGAACTCAGCTGTGTTCTTTCTTACAAGTTCTTTTTAGAGGTTTAAAACTAATGGATGATATCAGCTGTGTTATTACGATCATCATCTGTAGACTTCATTTACTCCTGTCTTCCATTACAAGAGATCATTTTCTGTTGAGTTCATGGCTTTTTGGAGTTTATTAAAAACCAGAAAAATTTAGCTACACAATAAAGCCATATTTCAAGCTTAAAAACTAGGTACTCTTCAGTGAAGGAAGACTGAGGACAAATTAAAATTCTGACTAATTTTGCATAGAAACATAGTGATTTTTTATGCAGCATTCAAATTACATCAACTTATATTTGGGAATGTCTCATAATTCAAAGTACATTCAACGGAGAAAGGAGATATGAAGGTCGTCTCAGAAACAATAAGCCCAAAGGTGCCAAGCAATTAAATAACTAAGTAAGAAAACTGATGCCAGGTAGGATGAGAATTCTGGATTATCTTGTCAAAACAATCCTGACATCTTTCTGTGATTTAGTGCTTACTCACTGTGTATCTAAGTACATGAAAAAGTGTATGTTATGGATTGAACTCTGTCCCTCAAAAATATGTGTTGTAAATCCTAACGTCTATACCTGTGGTTATTATTTCACTTGGCAATGGGTTGTCTTTGTTATGTTAATGAGACAGGATTAGTGACCGGTGTATCTTGAGTCAATCTCTTTTGAGATATAAAAGAGATTAAACACGAGCTAGCAAGCAGAGATGGTGGAGAAGCGATGCCAAAGCCACATGGAGAAATCCCAGGAATACAAGCTCAGAAGAGACAAGGACCTTCCTCCAGAGCCGACAGAGAGAGAAAGCCTTCCCCTACAGCTGCCACCCTGACTTCAGACTTCTAGCCTCCTAAACTGTGAGAAAACAAATTTCTGTTAAAGGTACCCACTTGTGGCATTTCTGTTATAGGAATACTAGATAACTAAGACAGTATATAAACATTAACTTATCTGAATTATGCTAATGTACAAGAGAACAAGAAGCTTAATATGCCAATGATTAAGAAAATCATCTCAAGTATGAGTTGCACAGACCATTAATTTTTTTTATTTTTTATTGTATTTCAGGTGAAGGCTTACAGAACAGTTTCTCACGAAACAGAAGTACACATGTTGTTTTATAACATTGGTTAACAACCCCACAACATATCAACCCTCTAACTTCTCAACCTCTTTTGTTTTTTTTGGTGAAAATACACATAGCCAAAGATACACCATTTCAAAAATGTCTACATGCATAGTTCAGTGACACTGACTATGCTCTTCGAATTCTGCTGTTATTTTCACTTAAGATGAAGGCTTACAGAACAAAATAGTTTCTCATTTAACAATTACTACACACGTTGCCCCATGACAATGGTTAACAATCTCACAACACATCAACAATATCCTTACTCAACCTTGGGTTCCCTATCACCAGCTTCCTTGTCCCCTTCTGCTTTCTGGCCCTTGTCACTGGACTCCTGTACCTCGTTAGTCTCATTTGGTTTTACGGGGCTGTCCACTCCCAGGCTGAATGGTGAACCTTGGAGGTAGCTTCACCATTGAGCTAAAAGGGTGTCTGGGGGCCATACTCTCGGGGTTTCTCCAGTCTCATTTAGGCCAGTGAATCTGGTCTTTTTTTTGTGAGTTAGGGTTATGAGACCATTAATTTTTTAATGCAACAGCTTTATTGAGATATACTTCACATACCACACAATTCACCCATTTACAGTGTACGATTCGGTGGTTTTTAGAATAGTCAGAGTTGTATAACCATCTCTACAATCAATTTTAGAACATTTTCATCCCCCACACCCGAAAAGAAACCCCATACCCATCAGGAGTCTCTCTCCAATTCCCCAGCCCTAGGCAACTGCTAATCTACTTTTTGTCTCTACAGATTTGCCTATTCTGGACATTCATACAAGTGGAATTATACAGTATATCAGACTATTAATTTTAATAACACGTGAACTGTATCCAGATAGAATCCTAGTGATCATCAGATTGTATGAGATGTTCTAGGAGATCCCGCACTTTCAGAGAAGACCTGGGAGAGTCTAACTCAACAGTGTAGGGTGGTGGCCCAGGAATCTGCATTTTTAAACTCCTCAGATGATTCTGATGATCATCCAGATTTAGGAAGCACTGCTGTATCATGCAGTTGTTTCTTTATTTTTTAAATATCATATAACCTTTATAGTATGACACTCTAACTCACTATCCCCAAAAGGTGAAATTTGGTAATTCAATGAAAATAAAGCATCATAAAGATAGTTCTCTTCTGTACCTGGAAATCCTTTGAGATTCTACGATTCTATACAGAGTTCTGGTAAAATCTCAAGAGTGACAGCTTAACATGGGGGGATTACCTAAACTGCAATTTAGGAGAAAAAGTCTTGAAAGAACTTAAGGCACTGTTACTGCCTTCTAAGAAATTATGAAAATTTAAAGCACGGATAGCACTGGAACTACCTTACCTATGTTCATGACCTGAGACTGGAGCATCTGTCTCTGGCCAGGCTGGTTGCTGGCTCTCATGGGGATGCTGGCTGTTGGGTTCCGAATCATACCTCCTTGGACTGGCCGGTTCATGGCACTGGTGGTAGCGGCACAGGTGACTCTAGCAGCAGAACTCTGCGGTGCCCATTCCCCAGATGGCATGGTGGGCCGGGAAGGATTAGTACCAATCATTCCTGCATGCAAGCCAAAGAAAACTGAGCAATGCAGTAACCGAAGACATACTGAGCATGTATTAGCACCAGATGATCATACTCTTTACAAGACAATTGTTCTGTAATACACAGTCAGTGCAATAGCTAGCCCCCTCCCTTGGGTAGACGTGGGCCCTTTGCTAAAAAATACAACTAAGCAATTACTACAAATTTGTCACAACATGGACTTGCCACTCTTTATAGCTCGGAAAAGCTGTTAAAATTGTTCCCATATGTAGTTAGAAACAGGTGCTGTGGTGTGTGGATAACCCCAACTTCCTTCCTCAGGAAGTGAATCACATTAGCTGATATACACGTCAATGCTTTACTTTCCAAAAGGGAGGGGAGGCTAAGAGGAACAAGGTAAAAACTAATAATCAATACTCTAATTATAAACCAAAATCACAGAGAACATATTGTAAAACTATGCTAGACTTTTAAACGCCAGAAATTCCGTTCAGAATATTAGAATTTGTTAAACTTCAAAACTGACCAAGGTAGCCTCTAAGGCATGGGGGAAATACACGATCTTTCTGATATTTACTAAAGTTCTTTATAGCCAAGACAGGGGAAACACTACTTCTTCAATAAACCCAGACCATCACATTTGTGATTATACTCATCCAAAATAGGTTAGGACAGATTTGTAAAAATCTTTTCATAATTAAGTTATTAGCAATCACATGACCACACAAAACAGTAAGAGCACAGCGTGGCCAGGTGGGATCAAGGGTTTACTCTGTCTAACCTGGCCCCGGGATGCTGGTAATGGTCAAACATTTGCTAAGACTTGATATTCTAAAGGGGGAAATCCGAAATGAAATCATTTAGGAGTGTTTTATGATGGATGTATATAGGTTCTGCCTTCAAATACATGGCTTACTCTCATTTAATTATGGTAAACAACTAAAAATAGGGTATGCCTAACAAATGGAGAGAAGATGTACTGTGGGTGTTTCTTGTGAAATGAGAACGTGTTATATTAGAATGATTAAGGGTGAAGGGTAATTAATTCAACTGAAAAGGTTAGAACAATGTTACATATTTTAAAAACCATTTTAAGATTAGATTTGAACTATACAAAGATATTATAGGAGAACAGGCATGTTATTTTTCCAAAAATCTACTACCTAAATAATGTAACAAGATTATGGAGAGTCTAGAAAGTAGAAAGGAAAATCACTCATAATTCAACAATATTAATGCAACTATAATGGGTATTCCCTTTCACTCTTTCTTTTTCTTGAATGGCGTGCTAAGCGTTGTATGATCTTCACAGTCTAGACACCAGTGATAACACATATATACAGGCTGCCCAGTCTAAGCTAAAACAATACCAGGAATTACAACAGCCACAAATCTAAGTTTTTTTAATAATATCTATTTCTTTCCATGTCTTTGTCTTCTGCATCTCATTTAGAAAAATGAAGAAAGCTGTAAATTGCAACAGCTCTTCATTAGAAAACTTAGCATACTGCTATATCCATAATAAACAGATGTCCTAGGGTATAGGACATGGTGGCAGTAACAATCACTGTTGCTGTAATGATTTCTAGACTGAACTGGATGGAAGTTTGGGGATATGTTTGCTGCTATAGCGGGGATTATACTGAGGAAAGTGTCTGGGCAACTTGGCAGACACTTTAAATCGTAGCAGGTCAAGGTTCAAATCAGATCACAGGCAACTTCATAAATCTTCAAAAACAGAGCCCTGGACCAGATCTAAACGTTGTTGTTAGACTAGGCACGCTACCGTTTACAGTTCTTCATTTTCACTCAGCATTTTTCTGAATGGGAATTGCATAACTGAAAATACTGAAGGTTGGCTGAATTTTAAACTTTCATTCTGAAATTCTCCAAATACAAATCATCAATTAATAGGAAGTTTTTGGGATATTGGCAGATTATCACTGGTAACTAGCAATCATCAATCTATCTTATACATACCACTAAATTTTCTAGAAAAGTAACTGGAATAAGAGCAAAATAATTCAGCTTAGGCTCTAAGATTAATGATTAGAAACTTTATAAAAGAAATGATCACAGAATAAAATGCTCAGCCTTACTGAATATTTTCAATGCTTCATTCGCCACTCAATGAAAACCTGTAGAATCTTCTTACTTTCAGATGTTACTTTCTAACATAAAAAAATCACTTGAAAGATGTGCTAGTTTGATGTGGATGAATACATCATTATCACTGAGTTAATAACCCACCAACAGAGGAGCAGTGCATTTGAGCCCTTACCTGTGCTACTGTTCCCTAAATTTCCTTGGTTTCCTATCATCCCTTGATTACCCATCATTCCTGGCTGAGGTATCACTGAGTATGGACTACTGTTTCTGATGGGTGGGAAAGGTCCAGCACCAGTTGGGCTTTGCAATGTGATGTCAAGTGGTAAATTCTGGTTTGGCAATAACCTGCCCAGTTGCCCTGGTCGTGGGTTATTAAAAGCTACGGAGAAAACAAATAAAAATTGAAGGTTAATATAAGATAATGGAAAAGAATAGTAACAGTAGTAGTGTTTAGGGAAATTTTTTTCTGTAAAAGAACAACAATGTGCTTGTCAGGGACCAACTGCCTACACAAAAGACAAACTCACCAACAAAGAACATACGCAGTGCCAGAAAGTAAACTCGTAATCTAATCAACATGTCTCTAATTCTTGAAAATTTTGGGGAGGAAGAACAAAAAGAGAGACCATTGTAAATACTATTTACTATATATTTTTCTCCTTAATACTAATTTCTAACATTCAACTGTATTTTCTAAGTAAACAGTTAATATGATTTATTTCATGTTATATTATTTGAATGCAGGAGTATTACTTTCTCACAGCTATGAAGCTATAAACATCTCTTGCATGCAGCACCAAACCCGCACACACGTGGTTTGGATGTTAGAATATCATGTCTCAACTGGACACTTTCCTAGGTTGAGAATTAAGTTGAAAGTGGTTACTCTCATTGAGAGTAAAATCTTGACGTGTAAAGTTCGCTACTTGAAGTCAGTATTAGGTTAAAGCTTTAGGGCCCTGTTTACTCTTCTAAGCACAGTTTGTTTAAATTCTAGATACTTTTAGATTTGAAAGCAACCTGTAAAAAAAAATTGGCATAGTGGCGCTTACACAATACCTCAGAGGAAGAGGGCGCAGTTGGTAAACATAGAAGGTGTGTGTTATCTGTGTAAAAATACAGTATTTTTATGGTTAATTCACAAGAATTTCTTGTGTACTAAGCACTATGCTAGTGCATTATACTATTATACAGACAACTAGTAATTTGATAACCAAACCAAAACCAAACCCATTGCTGTCAAGTCGATTCTGACTCATAGCGACGCTATAGGACAGAGTAGTACTGCCTCATAGGGTTTCCTTGACTGGTAGAGTCAAACTGCCGACTTTTTGGTTAGCAGTCGAGCTCTTAACCACTGTGCCACCAGGGCTCCAATTTGATAACAATGCTATTAAATTAAAAAAATACAAAAATATTAGAAAATTTTGGGCTAATTTTAGTATTTTCTCTGAAATAGTGAAGTCTGAAATAGCACATTTAAAAGAAAAAGTTCTTAATAATCACTAATAGAAAAAAAATATTTAGAAAAAGTAGGGCTGGGAACAGAAATTATATACAGGCTTAATCATGGCCTCCGCAGGTTCAGCTACCTGGTCATCACTCCATAATCTGAACACCATTAGGAGGTCCAAACAGAGGAGACACTGTTAAGTTCCCCACACAGGCCTTCATGATCTCCTTGGTTAGTAGGAATAAACTACCTAGACTGTTTCTTATCGACTTCTCAACTTTGCAGTCTCCCACGGTCCACAATCAACCCTGTATTTCCCCAAGAAACGAGGCAGGTTTGAGAAGTAACAAGTAAAAACTCATCTTTCGTTTTACCCTTTTCAGAGTGGCCAGGAATCACTTGAGAAGAGAAAAAAATAAAGATATTCTGTGACCTGGCTGATGGTTGCCTTTTCTGGTTTGAGAACAGGAATTACAACAGCCACAAATCTAAGTTTTTTAAATAATATCTATTATAATATATTGAACAGGGAAAAATCATTCTGTTACAATTAACACTGAAGAGGTTATTTAACTTTCTATAAATTATGGCCTTGGGACAGAAAAGATATTTTCTTCCATTCAAAGTGTTGGACAACTTTAGGGTAACATCAAGTTGGTAAACTAAATGTTCACAGTGAAGAAAGAGTTCATATTAAACTTAAAAGGACCTAAAATAAAATAAAAACAATGAAAAAATGATAAAAATATATTTGCTTATAAATGGATGGTGTAAGGTCTTCAAACTTCATATTAAATTAAACAGCTTAAAATACACTTAGAAAACTTTTACACGATAAAGTTCCATGTAAAACTGATGTTTACATGAGGACTCCTGAGGGACAGGGCAAGATATTTTTAAGGTGTGTAGCCCTTTCATGTTTAATGACTAAACATTTTGAGAAGAATCTTATTTTTAATAGTATATTATCCTAAAAAGTTCACATAACTCCTTGATTTTCTATTTTTTAAGTATTCAGTTATATATTAAAACACATAAAATCTATCTTAAACTCCATTTCTGAAGGCAGTAACAGAAAGGAAGGGAAATATGACAATTATCTGAAGAACACTATCGATGTAGGTCAGTCTCCTTCCATGTTGATTAAATTATCTACAAGAGAATGTTAAGAAAACATGCTAACCAGATTCCATTTTGAAATGATGCTTCAAAGGATCAGGACGGTAGATGGTGCTATTTGATCACAGAAACCTTGAAGTGACTAAGCTGTTTGCATTAGACCTTAATAATCCATTTCTGATAGTGATTATATGCGATTTTCTTGGCATAGCCATCAATATCTCATACTCACTGCTCTGTGAAATTCGCAATGCTGTTTTCTGGGCTCCAACAGGTGTAACAGTGCTGTTTTCAGCTGTGAGTTGCATGAGGTCATTGATGATGGCTTGCTTGTCGACTGATCCAGTAGGGGCACCTGGCCTTGTGTCTGGGAAAAGCTGTGGTAACTGACTATTCTGCAAATCATCCAAAATCTCCTCCAAGTTGTCCAGCTCACTGCCAGGCTGCAGTTAACAAACAGAAGAGTTTATCCAGTCCCACTCCAAGCGGACTGTGTGGTACCGCAGGCACATTTGTACTTATTGACCTAACTGGTATAAAGCACATAAGCACAAAAAAGATGCAGATATATACAGCATAACTCAAGCCTAACAGTTAATTGGTCATCTTTCTAAAAATTAAATTGACAAAGGACAAGTAATTTAATCTCTTGGTTCTCAATTTCCTCGTCTGTAAAAAGAGAAATGGCTGAATTAGAAAGAAAGCTCTCTTCCGGCACTGTGATTTGTGGGCAATTTATAAATTCCTCTTTATTTTATGCTAACCACTCAATTAATCACGAGTATGTATATTCCCAATTAACTATGAGCAGGTATGACTCAGAGTCCAAGTCTAGTTTATGAGGTTAAGACTCCCTAAGAAATAACAACAATAACAAAGTAGTATAAAATAAATAAGATCCCAATTTGCACTAAATCAGTATTTTAGCAAATGAACATTTCCTTTTAGGGATTTTTTTTTTTTTTGGAAGAGCTGGGGGTGAGGGGGACGCAAAGTAAGCTTTGAAGCGACCCTGAACTAGCTGAGCATCGCTTTTTCATTTTAAGTGCTTTCTTTTCTTCTTAACACTTCCAGTTTCGAAGGACACTGGCTCTCTCGCTCACTCACCAGCTTAGGGGGAACAACGTAGGGAAGCGGGATAAAAACGGGTCACTCCCAATCATAATACCTAGTAACCTGATTTCACAGAAGCCATAGAAGTGTTTCTTATGGCTTTTTTACTTTTTTTATAATTTCATTTTCAATTACCATCATAAAAATAGTAAGATAAGTATCACCATTATTTCATACTTAGTACTTTTCTTTCAGGAAGCTAAAATGATTTTATAGCTATTCTTCTAAGTAGAACCTATCTATGTGCCAGGTCATTAAAATCAGACAGAGTCAACCACACAAGAAAATGACTAAGTTAAATGCCAGGATTACTTTCTAGTGAAGAAAGTAGTGATGATTCTCTTGATGTGTAGGTGGAAAAACATAAGTTAGGCAGCTTCTCCAAATTCACTGGCATGAACTTTGAATCCCTGACCATGACTTACATTCTCATTTAAATAACTCTTTCACTTACCCTGGCAATTCCAAATGAAATCGCATGCTTGTGATATGAGGAGGTTACGTTAAAAGCAAAACGGAATGGCCTACATTTTTATCCTATATACGGTATAATTCCTATCCCCCATGTAAAGGTTGGATCCACTAAGATTTCTGTAAGTTATGGCAAATGTAATATCTGTATGGGATGTCCTTTCACTGAATATATTTCTCAAGTTAGGAAAGGCAGACTGAAGTAACATTTTATTTGATTCTTTGCAGAGACAATGAGCTTAGCAATAACTTGGAGATCTATTTTCCAGGGACTTTGTAATGAATTGTCAGGACAAATACAAGACCATTATCTGGTTAGTTTAATCACCCTGAGCTTTTGTCTAACAAGAGAAGGGCACCAAATATGGGAGATTATCTAACTCAGGTAAGAGTTAACATCCTAAATTACAGACAGACAAAATGACCCTTTGAACTCCTTAGGAAGGCACCTCACTGGATATCCGCTCCAAGTGCAATACAGCTAGTTTTCCCTCCACAGTGGGAACAGTTCCTATTTCTTCGGCTGAGCCCCAAATGAAGTAGTTTGTGTTAAGGGCCATACTGTACACACACACAAAAAACTTGTGGCTACGTGTTCACACTACTGGAGCTGCCAGGGAACCAAACACCAGCACATCCACATCACCCAGCTCATGCTCACCCAACCAGGGCGTACACTAATTGAGATGAATGGTGGGCAAAACTGCTTGCACTTTCAAACAACTATTTAATAACTTACACTTCTTCATTTTTTTCTGGATGTATACAGTTGACTCTGTGTAAGCTGAATGTACCTGTACATAATCTACCTTTATCATGTTTTACTGATTAAATTGATGCTTTCAGTATAAACATTTATTTTCCACCAAGGATAGTGCCTGGAAGGTAATGGGCACTCACTCAGTCAACATGATGAATTCCTTTAACCACATTAACTTTTTTCTCATGTTGAACTAGATTCCTCATAGGCATTCCTACAATTTCCATTAATTTCTCAGAAAAAATGTTTCCTTATTGTTTTATCATGAAATAGCTCCAAAGATCACAAAGAAGCTCTAATAAGCTGCAGTTTATCTCAGTCTGTGAAACAAAGTTTCCCAACTACAATGCTGCCTTGTATAATGTGTTTTTAGAAGGTGGCCCTTGAAGGTTAGTACGTGTGTGGGGGTGAGGAAGATGGGCTGTAATAAGTGGCCTCTTGCGAAAGCTTTGCAGATTGTCTTTGATGAGAAACATATAAAATGAATAGGTTCATATAAAAAAATAATAAAAATATTATTTTCCTCAATGTAGGCTCTTATATTTACGACATATTTTCCCCATCTCATGTATGTGTAAAACAAAGTTTTTTTTTTTACAATATATATGGACAACAGTCTAGGTGTAGACTCTACCTTTCCTTTTTACTTCCTTTTTTTTTATGCAAATAAGATCATACTTTAAACCATCCTGGACAGACAGCAGAAGTTTTAAAGACTTCTAGTGATAGAAATTATGACCTTTCCTTTCTAATCTACTCCTGTATTTAATGAGTCTAATATAAGTTCAATATAACATACATACACATGGGACGGTAAAGTATATTTGGATGGTTTAAATAAATTATTTTTATTTCAGGAGATAATTTAAAAAAATTCAATCCATTATTTCCCTTGGTTTACTTTTATTCTTAAAAAGCATGTATTAAAAATTTAGAAAAAAAAAAAAAAAGAACTCAAGTGACAACCAGAATAGAATTATTAAGAATGTTGACATATTGTGAAAAACATCATCAATGTCAATGAATAATCTGTGTGTAGAAATGGTTAAATGGGAACTTAATTGTTGTGTAAACTCTCACCAAAAACACATTAAAATATTAAAAAAAAAAAAAAAGAACAGACACAGACACACAAAGGGAAGAACGCCACGTGATGACTGAGGCAGAGATTGGAATTATGCTGCCATAAGCCAAGGAATGCTGAGGGTTACCAGAAGCTATTGTTGTTGTTTATTGTTAAGTGCCATTGCGCTGATTCCAACTCACAGTGACCCTACAGGACAGAGCAGAACTGTCCCATAGGGTTTCCAAGGACTGGACAGAGTAGAACTGCCCCACAGGGTTTCCAAGGATCGGCCGGTAGATTTGAACTGCCAACCTTTTGGTTAGCACCCAAGCTCTTAACCACTGCGCCACGAGGGCGCCCCAGAAGAAGGCAAGAAAAGGATCTTCCCCTACAGACTTCAGAGAAAGCACGGACCTGCTAACCTCATGGTCTGGCTTCCAGAACTGTGAGAGAATAAATTTCTGTTGTTAAAAAAAAAAAAAACAGTATGTGTATTGTTTAATGAGAAACTAATGTGCTCTGTAAACCTTCATAAAAAAAAAAAAAAAAAAAAAATTCATTTTCAAATTTTGATCTTAGCCATTTTAAGAGGAGAACTAATTCAACTGTGAATCAGTCCAGCTCTGACGAGTAACAAAACATTTATTTGTCATAAGAAAGCCGTGAAGAATCTTCTTGATGTTATATATCAAAAGGAGTTGGTTCTGTGGAGACCAATAGCTATGGACACTGTGAATCCATTAAGCTTACCACCTGAAAAATGCAACATGAAGTTTTCCCTACTAGAGACAGTATTGATTTGCCTGTGTTGACTCCTTGTCAATGTTTGGAGCACACATTTAATAATCTAAATGTTGTTAAGTTTACTTTAAATGTTCTTCTTCAAGGAGATAAAATTCAGAATGTCTATAGCTCTTAGGTTGTTCAGCAATAAAGTTTTATGACTATCGCATTTTCGTCTGTGTTCAAAAGTAAGTTCTACAAGGGATGGATTTGGCTACCTTGAGTTTCTGATGTTCAAACATTTCCTCCCCTAAAAATTTTCAAGCTTTAATTTTCTCCCAAAATTTTTCTAGTGCCTATTTACTTTGTTAGGCACAATTCCTTTGCAAGACAAAAAGATTAATGCCCTCCTTTGAAATGCTTTGCCAAGATACTTCAAAATTTTGCTTAGGCATCTATTTGAATGCTCAAATTAGCCACATCAATCTGAATAGTTACTTTAAACTATTTCAGGCAGAAAATGTGTCAGAAAGATTATTTATAAAAGTTCTACAAAATGAAAATTGAACTTGATTTCTTTAATTTTTCATTATTCTAGTTGTATGAATTTTTCATGTGTCAAATCAACTTGTTCTCTAAAGGAAATATAAAGAACACATGACTATTAATAACATAAGTATTATAATAAATCACAAAACAATTTTCCAAATTTTTTAAATGAAAATTATAATTTACCACATTTGCCTAAAATAAAATTGTTAAAAACTGGTAATAATTCTACCACATTTTAAAAAAATTTGTTGTACTTTACGTGAAAGTTTACAATTCAAGTTAGTCTCTCATAGAAAAATTTATACGTACACTATTATGTGACCCTAATTACTCTCCCTATACTATGACAGCACACTCCTCCTTTCTACCCCTGATTTCCTGTGTCCATTCAACCAGCTCCTGACCCTCTCTGCCTTCTCATCTCACCTTCGGACAGGAGCTGCCCATTTAGTCTCATGTATCTACTTGAGCTAAGAAGCACATTCTTCATGGGTATCATTTTATGTCCCATAGTCCAGTCTAATCTTTTTTTTTTTTTTAAATTGTACTTCAGGTGAAGGCTTACAGAACAGTTTCTCATGAAACAGTAGTACACATATTGTTTTATGACATTGGTTAACAACCCCACAACATGTCAACACTCTCCCTTCTCTACCTTTTTTTTTTTTTTTTGGTGAAAATATACATAGCCAAAGATACCCGATTTCAAAAATTTCTATATGCACAGTTCAGTGACATCGACTACGCTCTTCCAATGG